GAGAATTTTTTACCTGGAACGAGACTCATGGGGAGGTCCAAGCATAATGGTTTTGGGGGGGATCGGCCTGAACCAGAGAGTGGGTCCTGCAGTGCGCTACATATTTCTCAGTCATGAAAACAACGTTTTCCAGCATGACAACGCCCGTGCCCACACGGCCAGAGTTACTCGGGACCTTCTACAGCAGAACGGTGTCAACGTTATGCACTGGCCAGCCCTTAGTCCGGACTTAACTCCGATTGAACATCTTTGGGATGAAATTCAGAGGAGATTTAATAACGTCGTACCGGGACCAAACACAGCCGATGGATTGCGCCAGGCTTTTCTGAGAGTGTGGTTCCAGGTGCCAATGGCGTTGATCAATCGTCTGGTTCACTCCATGTACAGACGCTAGGCTGTTGTTATTGACACTCGCGGTGGACACACCAGATACTGATGTATAGACTGTGTACAGACTTTAAATTTTCTCGTAATGTCTTGGAATTGTGATATATTAATCACTAATTGTGTGAACATACTGTTCACAAAAAATTGCTTTGATCCCTTTAGTAAGTCGTTTTCTAGAATGAATTGATTAATGTGCCTTTCTGATTTTGAAATCGTACTGACGTTTTTGGGGGTGTTTTTTTGCTGTTTAGTCACTGGTTCCCAGTGTTTATTAACTCATTATTTATGGAATGACAATTACTGGTTTATTAACATGCAACGTTTCGACGATGATACCCTAGTCTTTATCGATGTTTATTAACTGTTCCAAAGTATAAACTGGAAGATCTATGGCTTTTAAACTGTGAACATGTTGACATTTTAATTTTTTAAAGGTTTTAAAACTATTGTTTTACGTTATGTGTAGTTCAGTTGTAAAGTTTACCATGGGGCAACTTATTACCTGGAACACTCTGCGCTATACAAATTTATTATCATTATTATTATTATTACATCTAGTGAAGCCCCATCTCTCAGTGTCATTAAACAAAAACTCAATACTTACCTGTTTCAGTGTTCATATTTGCTTTGAGCAAACAATACTGTTTGGAGTCTAGCGTTTATTATTATTATTATTATTATTATTATTATGTACATGTATTCATGGTCGAGGTAAATGGCCATTTCGTTGGTCAAATTGTGACAAAATTTACCTTACTATTTCAGTGATATAGAGCGATGGCAAAGACACTAAGGTAACTTCACCTTGCCAACTCAACTCATCGGTTATCAAGGTGAGTTCCACCTACTCTTCGAATTCCAACTGTGATCTGCCCATGTGAGTGGTGCACCTTCCGCTCCAAAGGTAATCTGCCCCTGTTGGTGCTGCACCTTCCGCCCAAAGGTAATCTGTCCATGTGGGTGCTGCATCGATCATCCGCCTAAACTGCCCATGTGGGTGGTGCAGCTTCCGCTCCAAAGGTAATCTGCCTCTGTGGGTGCTGTACCTTTCGCCCCAAAGATAATCTGCCCCTGTAGATGCGGCACCTTCCGTCCCAGATGTAATCTGCCCCTGTGGGTGCCACACCTTCCGCCCCAAAGGTAATCTGCCCCTGTGGGTGCTGCACCTTCCGCCTCAATAGGAATCTCCCCTGTTGGTGCTGCACTATCCGCCTCATAGGTAATATGTCCCTGTTCTGTCATCTTGACTTTACCCAGATCATTAATACTACCCTTTTCGCCCCCCCCCCCCCACCCCTCACACACACGCCTCTCAGTCAGGACTGGATATTCTTGGAAGATTTTTAGGATTCATTTGTCTTTAATTTCATCATTGATCTAAGCGGATGTTAACTACCCCCACCGAACGAACAATGTACCAGCAAATACCAAAGGGAACGATATGTTGTGATAACAAAAAGTCACACATAAATTATTTTGTCTGGATGGTAAATATCTATATCTTAATACTCCGCCTCTATAGCCACGAAAGATTTATAAATTACATAGTGATCATCTGATCCAGGTCGGGACAATTTGCCTGTAGTTAAGAACTCATTATAATATAATCTGTTCAGCGATCACTGAACTTCATCAATGTGCTTCCAGCTACGAAATCATCAAAATGTGTACAACGATCAATTGGGAGTGTTACCTCAATACACAGGAGATAGACGATAGTTCAGAAGTGAATCAGGAAGTAGAGGGGCATATTCGGTAACGTCCACTCGACACAAACCCGGTCATTTCGGGACTAACACATAGTTCAATTTCATTTCAACAATTCGCTTGTGCGTAGGGGTCTTTAGCAGTGGGAGGAAACCGGGGGCCCCGGAGAAGGCCCACGAGGTTGGACAGGCGACCCTACTCCTTGTCACGTACAACCGGGGAATCGAAACCACGCCTGTTGACTCAATGACAGACCTTATGATACAGCGCGCACGTGCTAACCATTCGGCCATCCAACCCCCCAAATTTTGAAATAACTTCAAGATAACCAAAATGTGAGTGTATTATATCGTCGCCCACGTTCGTGTTAAAATTACAGAGGTTTGGTGTTTGGTAAGAGGACGATTTATTTAACGTTCCGAACCCTCCATGACACAGCGGGTTAACCATTTACTAATCAGCACCTATCAGGATGATGAACATGGGCATATTTTGCCTTGAAATGGGCGCTACAAGTTTCTCTACCATTGACCACTTTCAAGGCAAACACCACACTGGAAAATATCGATGAACATCTAAATTGAACCTGGTAGGGAGACTATTATATAGCAACAGCACAGTACATCAGATAATCGGGTCATGATATCTTCCAGGACCATCATTTCCAGGACCATCATGGAAATAAGCTTAACCCATGAGGTGTGCTATTGATGTCATCCTTAATTTGTCATGACCAAATGTGACAATGTTCATAATCATATTTATTTATTAAATATGTAAATTATTACAATCTAATATTTATCAATTAAATGTGTAAATTATTATAATCTAATATTTATCAATTAAATGTGTAAATTATTATAATCTAATATTTATCTATTAAATGTGTAAATTATTATAATCTAATATTAATGTATTAAATATGTAAATTATTATTATCTAATATTTATCAATTAAATGTGTAAATTATTATAATCTAATATGTATCTATTAAATATGTAAATTACTATAATCTAAATTAAAAACACTTATATGGATATACTACTTCTGAATTTTTGTTATATATCATTATTTGCTTGATAACGATATCTGTATGTGTATCGAAACGTAGCATGTTAATAAATTCAGAAGTAGTATATCCATATAAGTGTTTTTAATTTGTGAAATCTACCTCTATATGTCTTATAAGGATTATACTATAATCTATATTAAATGTGTAAATTATTATAATCTAATATGTATCTATCAAATGTGTAAATTGGTATTGTTTACTGTTATGTGGAATGAATATTGATAATGTAAATATCTGTTTATGACGAATTAATAAAAACTTTTATCTTACAGTTGAATAATGCTTCCGTGTAGGGGTCTTGAGCAGTGGGGGAAACTGGGGGTCTCAGAGAATATCCACAACGTTGAGCATGCGACCATACTAATCGTCACGTCCAAATGTGGGATCGAATGCATTCTTAATGACAAACCTTCTGATCTAAAGCGCACGCGTTAGCCCATTCGGCCACCTAATTCCACCAAACCTGAAATCGAACGGGGTTTAACGATTAACTGTTCTGCATTGACTGGGTTAAATGAGGACGGACATACGCCATGCAGTGTGGTATGAGGATCTACTCTTATTTTGAATTCCTACTCTCTAGGACTATTTATCGTGCACGCCAATTTGTATACGGAACTTGGTTTTTCGTCCTATCTGAACTAGTACACCAAGTAATGATAGAGCTATTCCCCATGTCTCAGAATATAATTTATAAACCTATTCCCCATGTCCAAAAATATAATTTATAAACCTATTCACCGTGTCCTAGAATATAATTTATAAACCTACTAACAGGATACCCGGCTTCGCCCGGGGCCCAAATTGGCACGGAGCCCAATTCACCAATGGTCCAAATTCGCCCGATGCACAAATTGATCCAGGGCCCAAATTCGCCCGGGTCCAAATTCATCCGGGGCCCAAATTCTTCCGGGGGCCTAAAACATTCATGGGGGTCATGCTGGTTAATTTGATACCACATATTATGTGGGCTGGAGCGCGGCCATGAAGTGGGATTCTTCCGGGTCCAGGCCCAGGCCCAATTCGCCTTGGGCCCAAATTCGATGGCGTAAAACATTCACGGGGTCATGCTGGTGTGGGGATGGAGCGCGGCGACAAAGTGTGATGGGCGAACATACACAACTAAAGCGGTGGACACACTAGCCGAATAATTCGGCCGAATCGTTCGGCCGAATCAATCGGCGTCGAAATTCGCCTAGTGTGTCCACTGTCATTCGGCCGAATGATTCGCCCGAATCAAACAGGTTTGAAATATTCGGCCGAATTATATTCGCCTGGTGTGTCCGCTTCGCCGAAGCATTCGGCCGAATATAGAATTCATTATCCAATCACCACTCATATCGTGAAGTCATGTGATAGATTGAAGACATAGACGCCGCCATGTTTAATCATGTGACGTGAAAGGTGATGCAATCGACAGGTTGAATCGGGCGAAGCATTCGGCTAGTGCGTCCACCCATTCGGCCGAATAAAATTCGGCGCCGATTGGATCGGCCGAACGATTCGGCTAATGTGTCCACTGCTTAATCGTACAGATGCATACATACACACTTTGATTTTATCTATATAGATTCACCGTGTCCCAGAACATAATTTATAAAACTATTTCCCGTGTCCTAGATTATAATTTATAAACCTATTTCCCGTGTCCTAGAATATAATTTATAAACCTATTCGTCGTGTCCTAGAATATAATTTATAAACCTATTCCCGTGTCCTAGAATATAATTTATAAACCTATTCATCTATAAACCTATTCACGGTGTCCCAGAATATAATTTAAATGTATTATTTTGATTACCATCTACCCGGCTGAAACAAACTACTATTAAAGTTACACGGACTTAGATCTCTGTCCTTCAAAAAAACAGTATAGACCACTCTCTTTTCCTCGTACATAAGCAGCATGTCGCCCTATACCACTCCAGCTAGTTACCAGCACATCACCCGTACTTAAAATATGTTGATCCAAAATCACCTTCTTGAACGCGTCGCACGTCTTGTCCGTTTCTGGTCCTTTATCAACATGCCCAATAGGACCATCGCTTTCTATGAACATCCCATCGAAAAGTTTTTTAGCCTTTAATCGGACTTCCTGGTTATCAGTAGTCAGAAATATTTTGTATTTCTCTGGGTCATTATATTTCAAGAATAGCTTCCATACCTGGGCAGTCTGGGCGAGAGTCATCACGCGGAATTCACCGTGAAAATCAGCATTATTCGGATCTGGGCCTATTCGTATTTGGGCACAAACTAATTTCTTACCAGCCACTCGTGTAGCCACAAACTGCTGGTACCGTTTTTGTAATTCTGGAGAAAACGTCATAATATCACGCCATATTGTAGCAAAGGTTTCTGCCATATTCAAGTGTTTCAGCCAGGCGAGATTTTGGCTGTATAATTTATTCAGTCGGATATAATGGCTAAATTCACTATTAATCTTCAGGTACGAAACGTCTTGTGGAAAATGTTCTGTTATACTGTCTTTTGTTAAGTTGACTCTTAATGCCCTTCCCTGTCTGTCTAAAATGTGTCTTCTTTCACTTGATCTGTTTATAAACTCATCCTTGTTTAAGATCCAGTTAAAAGATTCAGGTTGAATTTCTGAAGTAAAATCACATGGTTTTTCTATTTGAATCCGGAATTTACTGTTTGTGGCATTGGCCATCAAATATACAGCTATGATACCCTTCTGTCTATCTCCCCATCCTCCGCAAGTCATTCCTCGTCTACAGGAATAAACAAAGTATTTATCCTTTAATCTCAAAACGGACAACCTTGGCTCTCTAGCAAATAATGTTCCATAATAGAACCCGTAAAGTATGACGAGAGACATAATTGAAAGGATTCCGATCTTTAACTGAAAAACAGAAAGACGACATTCATGTTAGAATTACCCCAAGACAACCAACAATTTGAAATCATTCCTAGTAGTCGATCTGATTAATAAACAGATCTATATTTCGTTTCCTTTTTTTTTTAATTTTTGATGGCCTCTACCACATGACAAGTAAAACGAAATTTTGGCTTATAAAAAAAGATGATCTGTGTTTTAATCATAGTGTGCTACGTCAGTGCGTGAGACCATCAGTCATACTTTCTCATGTTAACTGACATGAAATTGGGTTTAATGTCCTGCTGTTCAACATACAGCACAGAGTGTGTTGTGACGGATATTTTGCCCGACCAGCGGTACTAAGGCCTGCTCTTATATTGAATTCCAACTGGCAATGCGTCTTTTACCTGCGCGTCAATGTGTAGACGGGACCTTCGCAGTGTCAATGTCCTACTGTTCTGCTCCGACTGGGTTAAAGGCTCAATACCACTCTTGTTGTAACTGAATAATATGTCCCAATCTTTATTCTGGTCAACAAATTTGACTATATTACAATATTACAATTAATTGGTGATACAAATTTCATCTCAACACACCTAATTTAAAAAATTGGAAAAATTCAACTAAATGGTTTGAAAAGCCTAACGTAACGAAAACCTTTTCAAATGTGACTTGGATTTAAAATATTTTCGAACCCTCTGGACAAGTAAAATAGGATGTAAAGGATAATTTACACAACAGTAAGCCACTTAAACATCTAGTACTTAGAATAAGGCTATTATTTATTTTCTGGGGCTGTCAAGCCAGCAAGAGTGTTATTGTCCCTTTAGTGAAGACGGCATAAGCCATACAGTGCGCCGTGAGAGACATTTTATCCGGCCTACTCTTACATCGAATTGGAACTGCCAAGGTTTCTTTTACGTGCATGCCAATGTGTACGTGGGACCTCGGTGTTTTTTTCTCCCATCCAAACGACTATACGTTTTCCTTTGCCAGGCCTCCCGTTTTGTACCACTGACAAATTTACCGGCCAACGCAGGAATCTAACACGGGACCTAAATGGGTTCCAAAAAAGAAACAGAAATTTGATTTTGTACTCACCTTAGATTTACTCATCATTTTCTTTAGATTAAAAAGAACTGCAATTAACATGTAAAACAGATAAAGCTGTCGTAGTTCTGTTTTCCAGGGCTGTAGCTAATTCCAGAACTAATGAAGATAAATCCGATTAATAGTTAAAACTGTACTTTTAAACATACATTATGCATGCGCTAAATCTGCCTAGTGCAGGTCTTTCTTTAGACCTGAAATGTTATGTAAATTATTAATTAGGCATTAATTAACTTATCCAGGCCATAATCAACTCACGATGTCATCGCTAGCCTGCGATATTTACTGGATTAGGATATCCGATTTGCTGCTCAACATTCATTCATGATTAAATCATGAAATGGCTAATCGAGACTATGTTTGTATCGTACCGACTTTACTAATGATGATCGAGGTTAGGCTGAAAATTCAATCGCTAAATTCTCGGTTCAGAGTGGATCAATTTGACTGAAATTTTCAGCAAATCCCCTTTACATTATCTAGTTTTTAACTATTATAGTGAGAATGCTAGTTCCCCCATAATGCATCTTTAATAAACGAGTTTCCAAAACTTTCTAACGAGATAGGTATCGCTCGGGCGAGCTGATCACCAAACTTAAGATACAAGCTTAGGATTAAAGGAGCTAAATAGCTAATATTTGGGACCTAGAAATTGACACAAGTGGGTCGCAACTCATATCATACTGTAATATGAATGTATATAAACTGATTTACATTCAATCGTTTCCGTTTTTACTCTAATTTCAAATCAGTTATGTTCCGTGAAATAAGCCAGCAGTCTCAATCGAATGCAAATTCCTAGCGTCTGGTTATTCCAGTCTACACACGCCGTTTGGTTTTGTGCAATATGTCTAGCCTCGTTCCTCGAGTCTCTTGCTAGAACTGGGGCTGAAACGCATTATGGTACACGATTCGTGTACCAATGGTAAAATATTTATTTTGTCTTAAATATTGGATATCAGAAGCCCATCTTTTTCCGGTAAGATCACAGCATCAATGTTGTTTTAAATTGACAAATAATTCGTGTTTTCAATGTTGAAGATTTTGGATGATATTGAGTTAGAGACTTAGCTACTTTAAAATATTAATATATTAAACATACATTATGCAAGAGCTAAATCTACCCAGTGCAGGTCTTTCTTTAGGCCTTAAATGTTATTTAAATTATTAATTATACATTAATTAACTTATCCAGGCCATAACCAACTCTCGATGGCATCGGATTTCTCCGATATTAAATAGATTAGAACACTTCAGCCATATTTTGATTTAAGCTTAAAATGGGGGCGCGAGACTTAGCTTCGAACAACCAGTACGGTGGTTGACATAATTGCACACGTCTTGTCAAACCTTCAAAGGCTAATATCTTCGCTCGCAATAGAGTAATTTGAATGAAATTTTCCAATTATTCATTTTACATGATCTATTTTCGAACTATTATAGCAAGAACAGCCAGCTCTTTATCTAAATCTTACATTATCTATTTTCGAACTATTAAAGCAGGAATGGCTAGCTCTTAATCTAAATCTTACATAATGTATCTGTAATATTTGATAAGAAATGTTACATTGCACATAGGAAACAGATGTTTAAATACAGAAGACGATATTGACGTAGCAAGAACGCGTGTTAACATTAATTAATATATATATATATATAATTACATTAAGTATAAACTCAAACAGTTAAAAGATTTAAATGAAATGAAATGAAATGGGGTTTAACGTCCTACTGTTCTGCTCCTATACTGGGCTAATGAAGACGGGCATACGCCATACAGTGTGCTATGAGGGAAATTTTGCCCGGGCAGCGGCACTATCGCCTACTCTTATATCGAATTCCAACTGCCAGGGGATCTTTTACGTGCATTCCAATATATACACGGGACCTCGGTTGTTCGTCTTATCCGAAGGACTAGACAGCTGTCCTTGTCAGGCCCTCCGTTCTGCACCACTGACAAGGGGAACCCACGTCGGAAAATCTGGATGAACTTTCTCGGCCAAAGCAGGGATCGAACTCCCGACCTCGAGGCTAGCGAGCCAGCGTCTTAACCACCTAGCCACAAAAGATTTAAAACATTAGTGAGATATGAATTCGGACATTGGTGAATATTAAGTACCTTAGATATTTTGTTAATATTTAATTTTAGATAATTCGGACAAGCAACTCGGCGTCATTTTGGCGTATATCTGGGGGTCTTTTTGCTGGAACACAGAAACTGAGATGTAATAATAATCCGATGTATACGATTTTTACAGGAAATTTTAAGCAAGCAAACAAATTTAAAAAACAAAAACCACGACTACCAAACGCCAAAATATCACATAAACTATTCGTTTATATTTTTTAATAACCCAAATCATGCTGAAGGGAGTCAGGGTACCCTAACGATGACAAGAGTCTCAAGCGAAGCGAGGACCGACCAGGCCCCATGGCCCGAAGGCCCGGGCAGGTGGCTTATAGTTTTTGATTCACCAATTATTCCAAAAGAAATGGACTGACAAAATCCGATTCTAATAAAAATGTTCAATTAATAAATAGTGTTGATTAATAAATAGTTAACTGTTTTGCACTGGCCATTGCTGTAAATCCTTACAACATCATCTTATGTATTTCATGCTCCGTGTCAAGTACAATGTTGGGGGCCTATATAGAGTGAATCAAAACGACCAAGGATGCAAATATTTAAAAAATAACAAATCATCGGGTGAAGATTTAATAATAAATGAATACATCTCATCTACTATAGACGATATGATTGAAATTTATGAATATTTATTTAATTTTATATTTGATACTGGTGTGCTGCCCGATGTATAGCATTAGGGAAATATTGTTCCAAATCTTCAAAAACAAGGGAAGTAAATCGGATCTGGAGAACTACAGATTAATAACGTTACTGTCAACAGTTGGAAAATTATTCACCTCTATACTTAAAGATACATTATGGGAGATAAGATAAAGAGATGGCAGTTCTCGCTATAATAGTTAAAAACTAGATAGTGTAAAGGTAATTTGCTGAAAATTTCAGTCAAATTGATCCACTATGAGCCGAGAAAGAAGCCTGTGAAATTTTTGCATAGTCTCGGTTATCATTACTAAAATCATTAATATAAACAGCATAGTCTCGATTATCCACTTTTTCTGATTTAATTATCTTTGGCCGTTACCGGCATATAGAAATCTAATCCAGCTTACATCGAAGGCTAGCCTTGACATCGAGAGTTTATTATGGTCTGTATAAGTTAATTAATGTCTAATTGATAATTTAGATAACATTTCAGGCCTAAAGAAAGACTTGCATAATGTATGTTTAACTCCCGTCTATATCAATATCTTGAAAAACTCTTGATCTTAAATGAAAATCGGGCTGGTTTTAGAGCTGGATATGCAGCATCTGATCTTATATTTTCACTTTATTCATTAAAGATACATTATGGAATGAAAGGACCTTAATGAACTGACAAAATAGGGAATGAAAGAACCTTAATGAGCTGACAAAATAAGGAATAAAAGGGCAGTAATGAGATGACTACAAAAGGATAAGGAAAACCAAACTCACCCTTATCATAAAACTGGAATGATACCGGTTCGACAGTGTCTAGAAGCCACAATCAGAGCTGTTGTATTGTGGTTTATATGCTTTACTCAAACGGATTAAAGACAAGTTATCTATATTCATCATATAACATTAAAAAGCAATATAACTGGTACCCAGTGGTATAGTGGGCGGTTAAGGAAGAATTTTTGGTATGAAACTTGGCACATAGATATTTTCTCCAAAGAATGTGTCAATTCTTAACATTATCATTAGCATCATATGTTTTAATGCATAAAACAATTAAACTACAATTATTGTGTCTTAAGGTTAAATTCTTTGAAATTCTAATTATCTGACTGGTAAGTTCTGCACATGGTTAATTGACTGACAGGTAAATTCCTGAGTTCGGTCAATTCCAGTTGCCCTCAAAAAACTATTACACTTTGCTATTATAAACCAATCCAATAGAAAGATAGATGATTGTCTCTTTTTTCTGAAACAATCATCTACAATTATCGAATTCAGTGACTCTGAAAACTTAATAGAGGACATATTACAAGCCATATCAAACAGAAAATTCACGATTATCCTAAAATTTGATCATTATTGGAAAATTCAGGCCACCATTTTGAATTTCTGCCATCTTAGATTTTGGAAACTCTTTTTTTAGATTGATTTTAATTTCAATGACTTTGAAAACTCTTTATATTACATATTGCAAACCATATCAAAGAGTGAAATGACTTTTATCTGACAAATCGGCCATTTTAGATAAATGTTGGTTGCCTTTTTGAATTTCCGCTATCTTGGATTTTGGAAACTATTTTTTTATTTAGATTAGTTTTAAGTTCAGTGACAATGTAAACCCTTTAAATTATATATTAGAAACAAAATCAAACAGTGAAATGACTTTAAACTGATCAATCCGCAATTTTGGGTATATTTTGGCCGCCATTTTGAATTTCAGCCATCTTGGATTTGGGGAAACTAGTTTTAGAGATTATTTTTCAGTTCAATTACAACAAAAACCTTATATTTGATATATTACAAGGCATACATTGCGTGATAATCACCCATCCTATCTGGAAATTCATTTTTCTTCAAATTTTGGCGCCCATTTTTTAAATCAGGCAAACCCCAAACGAAAATGACGTCATAGATAAATCTTTTTTCAAAAATCGTGTTCAGCTAGCAATTTTGCATCTGGAAATTGCTGGCCTGAAATGATTTGTAAAAAAATGTCTTATTGTGACACCCCTTGTTATATGTATATCAATGAATAGGCGGCCATTAACGACCACCAGGGGGAGCTGCTGAGGTGGATCCACATCCCAAAATAATTAGTAGGGTTGATGCCATCTATGTGCCAAGTTTCATGCTTTTAACCCACTAGTATGGCCATAGGAAAATATATACATATCTTGATCTATGTTTATAACGTATATATCTGAATACAAACTGATCAAAA